AATGTGAAATGGCTAACGACCCTTCTTCACCGAGATTTGTGTTCAGTAATGACGAGGCCTTGGCTTTCTGTTTAAAATGAAACCCTTTCATTTAAATGAAAGCCACTTCCTCGCTCACTGTAGTATAGTGTAGTGAGTGTGGATCGTGAAAAAGTCAGGAGGATATCATATAGGCTGGGCCTCGATGTAATCATGCCCTAACCTGAACAATCGAGTTGCATCGTTGCATTCATTCATGGATGATGGGAAGCCTCCTCAGATTTAGGCCCCAGTTGAATTCCCTGAGATACCCACTGACTTCACAGTCTCCAGGGCCACACAACAATGACAACTCTAGTTGTGCATTCATCTTCCCTGTATCTCACTCTGTTTCATGTGGCCCTGCTGTCATGGTTAATCTCCTCTAAAGCAAGTCTCTGTCTGGAGAAGCAGCTCTGCTCTCAGATCTGCTTTCTCTTTTGAAGCCCAAGCTTCTGAGGGTGTTTCCCTTCAGGCTTCACCACACTTTATTCTTTCACTTCACTTCTGTGAGATAAAATCAGTCAGCAATTTTGAAACCACGTGTGCACAGACTAAGCCGTGGTCTGTATGTGTTCACTGCCCCTGAATTCAAATGTTTACTGCCTGCTTTGTGGTCCTTTGATTAATTACATGAAATAAGTAAATTAAATAACTTGATTCATGTGCAGCAGGACAAAACCACTCAATCACATTATTACTGGAAAACCTGAAGCCTGTCCCAGTGCTTTGACTTAAATTTGAGGTATTTTTCTGTGAAGTAAAGTGACCCTGTGTCAAAACTTAGTTTTAATATCTTCGGTTAATATTATGCATGCACTGTGCATATTCCTAAATAGAGTTGGTTTGGGGGGCTCTGGGCAAGATATCCTGAAAATACTATACATTTTGGGGTTTGTAGTGTGCACTGTACTTTAAGGGCAGTTGAAGGCAGAGGTTACATGTGCAGTGCCCAGAGAATGTGCAGTTTGGGGGTCAAAAGGGGCTTGCAGCTAATTTTTGATGCATAGGTTATAATTTAAGAACTGATTTCGACTTAAGCCTGACTGACTGGAGACTTGAGCTGAAAGCTCACTTACACAAGACTTGACTTAGACTTGTCTTAACAGGCTTAAGATTTGAGTCAGATTTGTTTTGACTGACTTGGACCAAAGATTTTAAAAACAGTTTTATATAATGGGAAGGAGTCTTATATAATGAGACTAGCATGTTCATTCAAAGTAAGACTTCAAGGTGAAACTGATGATTTTCATCAAAGACGAGTTGGCGTTAACTGCCTAACATGTTGTTTATCCGTCTACCTACCAGGTCCATCACAACATCATATTACCGTAACTCAGTGGGCGGGCTGCTGGTGTTTGATCTTACCAATCGCAAGACCTTTGACCATGTGAGGGAATGGCACAAGGAGGTGAGTGAGCACATCCTGCCTCATCACATGGTCTACATCCTCATCGGCCACAAGAGTGACCTCAACAAGGAACGCAAGGTGAGCCGGGATGAGGCAGAGCATCTAGCAGCTGAGCTGGGCATCCGCTATGTGGAGACGTCTGCCAAATGCAACAGCAATGTGGACCGGGCCTTCGAGCTGCTGACAAGAGACATCTACGAGCTGATGAAGATGGGCGAGATTGTCACCCGCGACGGCTGGGATGGTGTGAAGAGTGGCCTGACCGCCAAGGTCCTCTTCCCGGCCGAGGACGAAGAGGAACTAGCTACTGCGGCCACTGAAAAGGGCTGCCACTGCTGACTGAGTGTTCTCCATGTCCAGACACTGTTCTGTCGTACCAAGAGCTCACCTCGTCTCACCACTGTCCATCACAGCCAAGTCATTGGAGCTCGGCCCCTGTGATACAACCATTCATCACTTTCTCACCTTGTGCTTTGTGCTTCTGTGTGGGATGTACTCACAACTGGGATTCAGGGGGCTAGTGTACCTCCTTATGTATATCTTATAGGCAAGTTGTATTTCTAAATCCATGTGGTGTAGCATAACCTGAGCTGTTTTGGGCCTTGTAAGATGGTGATGAGGTGGTGGGGCTTAAAGTGAAGCCAATACTCCTTTTCACAGAGTTAGCGGACTATACTGAGTATACTGAAGGTACAGATACCACGGATAGTGACTCAATGTGGTGTGCATCACTCCCATTCCATACTGCACTAATTGTGGGTTTCTACCTGTTGAAGTCTGTGTGATGCTTTGCCTGCAATATTTTGTGAATGTAATATTGTAAATAATAGTAAACTCTGTAGAGATGAAGGCTTAAAGTGAGGGCACTCTGCAGTAATTGTCATCATATGGAATCAGTGTGCTCCTCCTGCTACTGTAATCTGTATGTGCACTTACACCAAACTGACTGAAATGTTTGACCGTTCTGTGAGTAGATGAGTCATGTTTTTGTTTAAAAAAGAAAGAATAGAGATGATTTCTAGTTACAATGTATACATATAGATAGCCCATTGTAATCAGGGTAGGCTGTCCTATTTAGGTATTTGTATTATAGCATTAACATGAGCAAGGCAGCAAGTATGTAAGAGATTCATCTTTCAGTCATCAGACCTTTAATTAAATTGTCACCATAAAATGTGTTTGATTAGGAACAAAAGTAAGTTTAAGTTTTACCTACAGTTGTTTGTAGCTTAGCCAGACAACTACTTCTATTATTCAAGGCTCAGTTCACAAAAATAATACGACATTCAGGCCTGAAGTGGTGATGAATGCCAACTCTTTAAATCCACTGGCTGAAATGTGATTAGAATTTCTTTCAACATGGCAGTTATCACAGTACTACAAACCCACTCTATTCACTTCATTGCACAGATTGGGTTTGGGCAAGGGAGCTTTGTCAAATACCAGTTAAATACCAGTTCCTCTTTCACCTAGCTTGGTATTACCTTTAAAGAATACTTAGCATTTTGGGAAATAAGCTTAATCACTTAATTTTGATAAGAAAGTTCATATCTGTCTCATCTCTGCAGGGAACTAGAGCTAGGAAGAGATTAGCCTAGCTTAGCCTATTGACAAACAGCTATAGCCAAGCTCTCTCCAGCCAGATGAGCAGCCAGCTGCAGTGACTTCCTTGTCAGTGATGAGTGAGATTGCTGTGTGATAAAACCTGTCTGTAAAGACACTGAAATCCTTACTCACCAGCATTATTTGAACACATGCAGTGCTAGCCAGAGATTTTAGTTCACCAGAATACAAATATCAAATGGAAAGCTCCAGTTAAAGTTGGGGAAAGTATTTTGCTAAGTAATGTTGGCATACCATTAACATAATTTTGCTTTTACATGGATAAGAGTATTTTAGATTCATTGACTTGAGACATTAAGTATAGCAGCTGTATTGAAGCCAGTGATGGCCAGCTTTCTGTTCTTCGCAGTGAGCTGAATTTGTGAAGAATGTCTGCACACATGGCTTCCAACCATAGCTGTAACCTTTAAGACAGATGACCGTGTATGCTTTCAACTCTCCAGACTCTTTTTTACTGCAGAGACTATTAATCTGTTGTTTACAAGCCTGGAGTGCACCACAGAATACAGTACACTTGGTCTGGGAGCTCCCCTCCTCTCCCACTGCTCATTCACCTTTCACCAGCATCTCACCAAAAATCCTGTTCTCACATGCACTGTAAACACATTATGCATTCTACAGTTTTTACTTCATGTGATCAAGTTGACATTCTTGATTAATGCTGAATGGATGATCCAGTAAATATACTGCACACTATGTGGTTCGAGCTTTGGATTTGATAATGAATGTATTGGAAAACATTGGCACCATCCCTTTATTTTTTTATGTTTCACAGTCAGACTTTATTCTTCCAGGTAAACCACCACATGTTATAACCAGGTTTAAATACAGTGTACTATTATACAGTATGGGTTTTTGTTTGTTTGACAATCAGATGTTTCATGTTCATGGTGAATGTGAGGACTTCATCACAGGGGTGCTATGCCTTGAAGTAGAGCTAAATATCGATCCAGTATCCCCCTTTGACAACCAGTCTGACTGTGTTTGATACTGCAGCTACCTTTCCTTATGTTCGTTTTTCATCTTAACAGGGTTAAATTGTATGATATTTTTTAAATTTGTATATTAATACCATGGTGTTAGCAAACTGCTTTCCATTGAGTGTGTAAAGACTGCAGCCTCATAGTGTTGAAAGCACTGGTTAAAATTCTAGAACATCACTGAAAAGACGAGAAGAAGAAAGTGTTTTTAGGACTCATTCAATGGGAAGGAATTTCTCATCAGCCATTAGCAAACTCTTTATATCCACCAATGACAGAGGACACATTAAGATACATTTACAAATTTGTAATATGTAATCTTATGGACTGTGTAGAATCATAACGGTGACTAATGTGAGTAGTGATGATGATAATGACCATAACCACTTTCACTCACAGATCCAGCCTCTCTCTTTCTGTCTTTCTGTCTCTTTCTTGAAGGAGTAGCTCAACATTTTTTGGGAATCCTTTTCTTTCCAAGTGAGATGAGAAGATTGATACCGCTCCATTATCCTAATCTGTTTGTGTATGGGATTAACAAAAAACATAGAAAAAGTAAGTATTGAGCTTGAGAGCGTGTGTAGTGAAGTTTAGAGGTGTTAGCAATCGTGATATTTAACTATGGACTAAGATAAATAATTGTTTCTTGCCTGGTTCCAGTCTCTGCCCAGAGCTAGGCTAACAACAATTTAAAGTAACACACATAACATTGATATCGATCTTCTTATCTCACTATAGGAAAGACAGTGAAGAAGTAGATTTCCCAAAATGTTTTACTATGCTTTTAATAATGTGTTTTTATATTATCCACTGAAATGGTCAAACCAGCCCACTGACAGGGTTGCTGTACCAGAAAACGTCAGCAGTTTTTAGACCTACAGGATGGTACATAGCACAAAACCGTACAGCTTCTGATTCCCATGGTCACATTTCACAGCTTTATTGAATAAATGTTATTTATTTTATATATTATGTATAAGATTGCCTTATTTGATGTGATTTTATTGATTGTTTAAAAAAATTACATCTGTTAAATAATATTTAGGTAATGATTATGTTTTACACAGAGTGGGCCATGTCTGTCATGCCACCTTTCATCCACTGCAGAGTTACATTAGTCTGGATTAGATTAGTAGTAGCTGGGGGGATTTCCACACCAAATACACGGTCTTCCTTGAAGGCTGAAGAAATAAAATATAAAAATGAATTCAAGTAAAACATGATTTAATATAACTCAGGTGAAATAAAGCTATCTTTATCCCTACATGCTTAATCTGGCAATTTGGAGAATTCATGTAAACAATATTTAGGAATAAATTTAGAGAAAATACAAGTGAAATAAATTGATAACATTTTAAAATCCAGCAGCTGGTTAATATTTTTAGGCTTGTGGGGTGTGTCTGGTGAATTAAATGCAGGCCTATAACCTACAATTATGGCTATGCACCTGTAGTTTTTATAAAAAATTGATTAGTGTGTATGTCAGTTAAAGATAAAGCAGCGAATCTATTATAAACGTATATGGCTTTATATTCATTGTTAACTAAATCTCTCTACCATCTACAAGCCTTATTTTACAAGGTGCTCGTCGATGTCCCTATAGTCCCTACATTACATAAATGTAGCACTCTTTGGAGGTGCGTACAACAACCAATGAAAGCCAAGAAAAATAGGTTTCCCCGCCTTTTATTACCCATCATGCTCTTCGACGGTCAAACCCACGCTACGAACTATGCTCTAATGACGGTAGTAACTAATTGATAAGTACAAATTATAATTAGTAGTTGTTATTTTAAATGTGTAGTATATAGAACATCGTAAACACCCCCACATAAAAGTAAGTTGAAATTGTTGTACCTCTGAGTGACAAACACGTTACCGGTGTTGATTTGGTGCGACTGTACATAGTAATGTTAAAAAGGGCTTCTGCTGTGATTAGCACGGGAGGAGTGGCTAATTACCACTTCTCCCGCGGAATCGCTATCAAGAGATTTCGGAAGCACAATTTTTTAAACCAGGGGCTGCTAGTGATCTCATGTCCTGGCGTCCCGCTTCATAAAACCTTAAAATGTTAAAAAGAAAGTAGTTAGTCAAGGATATATTTATTAACGTGTTTTAATGTTTTCTTGACTGCGGTACATCGGATCTCACTGTGTATGTACATATCTCCATGCAAGAGTCAAGTAAACAGTAAACCAACATAACGCTGTATAATATAATAAACCAAACAGTTGAACCTTAAAACGTTTAAAAACCTTAAACCGTTGATTCTTAAAACTGGACGAATATCAACTTCAGGAATCTAGAACAGCAATAGCTTCTCGTTTAGGTCATTTGAAGCTATATGAACACTGCTCTTCGTTTCGGAATTCAAAATGTCTTTTAATACAGTGGCAGTGTTTCAGAAATGAAAACACCAATCAGGATAGAAACAGAACACACACAAAATATTGTATATAATAACAGATAGTGCCAACAAATTTGTAATATTCTTTGCCCTCATATGTGGCCGGTAATGTAACTTAAGCAGGACATTTAACCGAGTTGCAGTTCGATTTTGCCAGAGTTTACAAGCGCGTGAAAACAAGACGAGCGCTGTTCACCAGGAAGTCAAGCTTTAGCGAAGTGCGCATGTGCAGTAGCACTCCACAATCTAGGAATGCGTTTCTCTACATAATACGGTAAGGACAAGCTGATTGCTAATCATGTAGTCTTAATTTTACTTGGCTGTAAAATATCACTCGATCTTTTGACAAAAACTGTTGATTTAACTGGGGGTTGCAAGAGGGGGTTCAGCCAGTCAGACTCGTACAGAATGGAGGGGCAACGCCGTCGCCGTGCCGTTGTTTGCTGTACGTGCCGCCGCACAGGGAGACGTCATTTTGAGGGGGAGCGGAGAGTTAAAATCCAGAGTTACGAAAGGACGTAAGGTTCATAGACAAGCGGCACGTAACCGTCACATTGTAAATGCAAAGCTTTACCAGTTTCGGACAGTATAACCCGTAATATTGTCCAAATTCCCACATATCAAGTTACGCCCTTCCCTTAGCCATAATGGCTACCGTCGAGCCGGGCTGTGAGGATGTCAGCAGCGAAAAGCAGCCAGCTGCACGCTGCGGTCGTGATAATTCACCCAACTTTTGCCGATAAAAGTCTTTTCTTTGCGTCAAAATAGATGGACTGAACATGTGAGGGTTTTACAAAGCCCACTTCGGTTAACATCCCTTAAAATCGCGCAAAACTGCGGTTTCAATTCCGCAAAGCGCGGGGAGCCCCGATTATTTTGCTCAAAAATTGACAGTTTTGAAAAGCGGGACTCCGTAATACACAGATAAACCAACATTACACCGGGGAACATGGGTCAGTTATGTCATTTTTTCAGTTATCATCGTCTTGCAATAAATTAGCATGCACACCTCAGAACCGTTAGATTGAAATGTTTCCATTTCATATTATAACCCAGTTAATTCGGTTTGACCCAGTTCACACAGACATAACGTTAAGGGGTTGTTTTGTCAGCCGAACCATTTATGATATATGACATTTGTTGTTATAAATTAGTGCATTAAAAGGTTACTGAATGAGTACATGTTAATCTACTGGACAACATTGACTATTTCTCAGCTGGCCACGAGAACTGACACATTTCTGTATTAAGTTTGGTTAATAGTGTTTTCGTGGTTAGGAGAGATGAACTTATTTAACTAGCTGCGTAGTAAGTTGTTTTTTAATAGTTCTAAATACAGTAGCCTAAGTCTACACTTGGCTTAAAAGGTTTATGTTAGGCAGCTTTCTAAAGGTAGACTTTTGAAACCTGATCTTGGCGTTCTCATATCCAGTAATGTTTCAGATTTTTCCAATCTCAAGAAGTATTTAATTGTGCCTAACTGGTCTTAAATGAAATTTTGAAAGTAATTTTGACTCAACAGGCCTTTATCTTAAAAAAAGATACACCTTTGAATCTCTGTTGCTGTCTTTGACACATGAAAACCTGAAAAACATGGGTTTCATATCATCTTTCATGTTCCGATTTTTTTTTCCTGCTTCTTCAGATGAACAAACTCCTGGAAAGCTGTTATATGAAAGTCGCCCCCCTCCCTAGTCTACTGTAAGCAAGATGGCGACCACTGACGAGGTCACTGTGTCCATGGGAGAAGTGGTAATGGTGAAGGGTGATGGTGAGAGTGACCCCGATGATCCAAATAAGACTCAGGTCATCCTGCAGCTCCAACCAATTGCCACTGGGTATGTACTGAAGCAAGGAGTAAAGCACATGTGACTGTGGTTTAGGATGAATTAAACTACTCTTCACTGTAAAACAGTATAATGCAACAAACACAGATGCAGGGATGCCAAATGACAAGACACTATTAGGTTTGAATTGCAATTGGACCAAGAATCCTACACCTATGTAGACAGTTAGGTACCAGATGGATAGATAGCATCCTGTACACTACCAACAAATGTGAAAATATCAGTTTTCTTTTTCAGAGATGAATCTGCTGAAACAGATGCAGCTGTCATGGCTGTTGAAGCACATCCAGGTGAGAGATTATCAGAATGAGGTTTGGACAGCTTGTTTGCAAATACTTTGCTGAGTACATTACATAAAGGTTCATCTTTCTTTTTAAATGTTGTGTGTATCTTTTCATTTTTTTAGAACAAACAGAAGGAGATGATGTAGAGATTGGCTGTCCCATTACATGCGGCGATTGTAAAGCTGTGTTGCTAGTGAAGAAATTTGTGTGTCCAGGAATCAATGTAAAATGTGTGAAGGTTGGTATTCAGTGTGGCTTTAAAGTCCGATTTGAAGCAAAATGGCAACCACAGCAGGTTTTCAGTATTGCTTTTCATAGGCTTACTCATATGCAAATGCATTGAGTAACAATGTGGCACAAGACACGTAAACTGTATTATTAACCCTCACAATAGCAGTGGTTGTTTCCCACTAATACTGTACATATCAAGATTGCAGCCAGGTCATCCAATAGTCAGTCACTCAGAAGGAAATAAGCATGCACTGCTGACATGTTCCACAATTTCTACATTGAGCGACTTGTTTATTTCTTTTCACGTTGAACTTGTGGGTTTCAGATAGTTTTATGTTGAGTCCAGCTATAAGTGGCATGTACAGTGGCTGACTCTTATCATGAATAATTAAAGCAAATGTTATCTTTTATGCTTAAAAGAAAGCTTTTTGTCCTCCCTCAAACATAGTGCAATGAGTGATTTGCAGTAAACAAACGCCTATTGTCTGTCCTAGCTGTTCTAGCAGCTAACTTGTAAGCAGCTAAGTACAACAAATGTTCTGAAACAAATTAAATATTGACTCACAAGAGCAGCAAGGCCATGACAGAAATCTGAAATAGTGGTGATAAATAATTCAGTCTGCAATCCTTTTTTTTTTTTTTTTTTTTTGCTTTTCAGTGACTGTACAGAAAAAGACAGGATATGCAGGGAGGAACCGTTACGGCATGAAAACAGGATGTTACAGTTATGTAGTATGCATCCTAACACGGTATTTGCAGGTCTTGAAAAGCCTTTATATAAACATTCGATTTAGTTTCTTCAGAAAGGCCTTAGAAAGTATGAAATCTTAAATTAAATGAACAGAAGTCTCTTATCATGTCTCTTACCTGTATGTGATCTCAGACTGTCAGGAGATGTTCACCTCCAGTAAAAACCAAAAGTGGGATTTTTGTGACAGTGGATTGTGGTGCAGGAAGTTGTTCAAAACATTATGCAACCTGGACCTGAGTTTATTTAAGTTAACTAATTATGTCAATAGGAATTACTGGTATATAGTTTTGGGAAATACTGGCAAAAATGTGTTACTTTAGTCCATATACTCCATATTGTTTTCCAAACTTTGGCTGACATGATTGTGACACAGTCTATGTGGTATTAAAAGATCTAGTGGTATTCAAAGTTTATACAAAGTATTCAGTTTAACTTTCTGAACTTTGCATAATCCTTACAATACATATCAAAAATGCAGGCTGTACTATAGCTGGGGGAAAAACTGACAAAAATGTGGCTGCAACTATTTGGATCAGTGAGCGCAGCACTGCAAATGATGGAAAAACATTTCTCATTCCTCTTTTCTCATAGTTTTTGCCTTGTATTGTTTCTTGTTGATAGTGAAGAACATTATTTCCCTATTGCCAAAACTGCACTGTCAGTATTATTATTTAGAGTATCTTATATAGCAGTAGCATATAGTCTCCACTTCATTGTTTTACTTGATGATTCTCTTTCTAATTAGTCAGTAGTCTCTACTACTGTGCGCCAGTGTGATCCCTACAGTCACTAATACCTAGTTACTGTTATATCACCTCAACACAGTAGAGCACTAGGCACCGCCTGGATATGATGTATTTTTACAGAGACACTGCCATGATGTAAAACACCACAGTGTGTATGCTGCTTTATGAAACTGAATACTGAACTCTCAATAGCCTTTTGCCTTTAGCTGTTTCTGGAGTTTTCTCATCTATGTTGCACTCAGTGAACACGGTGCGTTTACTTAATCGATCCTCTCTCCACTAGTATGAAGACCAGCTGATCAGCCCAAAGCAGTTTGTGCACATTTCTGGAAAAGCCACTCTGAAGGACTGGAAGAGAGCAATCAGGATGGGTGGAGTCATGCTAAGGTGAGGAGGATGTTGTATGGAGACAAAAGCCATATTTTAATTATCTGAGATAGAACGTATACTGTAAATACCCCTGCATGCCCAATTATACAGAATATCCTAAAAATAAAAATGGATACATTAAAGACACATATCTGGTGAACAGGTTCCAGGCCTCCTAACCAGGTCCCATAGCTTCATGCTGAGTACAACTAGTTGCATGTTATAACAAACACACAGCTCTATAACTCCACAGCACCGCTCAGCTGTAGCGATTTTTAGCCCTTTTGTTTCTCTCATTAACTCTGCTTCCAACAGCAGCAGGTGTTTTGTGTGTCCGTGTGTGAACTCTATGGTGCATACTATCTTCTCAGCACGAAGCAGCAGCTAATAAGCACAGTTAGCAACTAGGTGGCGAACATGGTTGAGCAGGAAGGAGCTGGAAGATGGAAGGACACGGAGCATGTAGCAGCTTAGGAAGGAGCTGGAAGATGGAAGGACACCTACAAAGAGAATGAATACTAGGGATGGGACAGTATATTGGAATTCAGTATGAAATGATACAAAAACATCACAATATTTATCATTGTGTGTGGTCTCCACCAGTGACTTCCTATTTTTTGTAAATAAGATAGGTTCTGTTAGGCTAAGTCAATATATCTGCTTGTTCCTTATTTAATCAAGCCAGTGCTAGAAAAGGGGGAAAACGAGGAATAAAGTACAAGTATTTCACAGCTTGTCATACATTGTTGTCACTGAATTTTAAATGGTATCGTGTCTGAATCGTATACATCATATATCACAATGAATACTGAATGGCCAGAGGTAAACCTCCAAATGAATGCTAATGTTGGTCCATGTCCACTGGATAGGCAACTGTTTGCAAACACATTTGCCATTATTTTATATAATAATGGTGATAATATAGCAGTATTGTGTTTTCAGCTTCTTCCTCTTCCCCCAGAACAGAAAAGGTTACACAGCTATATCTCTTAAGTAAACCCACTGCTGTAAATGCCATCAGAGCCAGGCCTTCATTATGAATCACCTGACATTTATTTTCCTTATTAATCGGTTATTGGTTAATATATAAAAGGTCTAAAATTATTGACATATTTCATCCCAGTGTCTAGGAAGGAAGGACGGACGATAAGAGAATGTAGAACTAGAAAGTTTTTCCTCATATCATACTAGCTTTTACCTTCCTTTATTTCATTACCGTTTGATTCCATTTTAAATTTCTGCTCTCCAGAAAAATGATGGATTCAGGTCAGCTTGACTTCTACCAGCACAGCACCCTGTGTACCAACACATGTCGCAGCACCAAGTTTGACCTTTTAATCAACAACACGCGGTTCCCTCCAGACGGCAGTGGGCTCGCCACGCCCACGTCCACTCAAGGTGAGAGCATACCAAGGTCACGGCTTGACAGTGCCAGCATATGACAACTCTGGTATCAGCTACTAGGACTGTGTGCCTTAGATTTTAGTGATTCTGATTTTGCTTTTTGTTTCAGATTTTCTTAGGTAAGAAAGCAAAAACCACATACAGTGGTGGAAGAAGTACTCAGATTCTTTACTTAAAAGTACTTTGTTACAAGTAAATGCCCTCCAAAATGTTATTTAAGTAAAAGTACAAAAGTATTAGCATATAAATATACCTAAAGTACCAAAAATAAAAGTATTCATTATGCAGAATGGTACAGTTTACATTGATGTATATCATATGATTGGATTTTAATCACTAATGTATTATTATGTACATCACATTTAATGCTGCTGCTAGTAATGTGGTTATAATTTGAAGTACTTTACGTACTGCTGGGTGGCTTGTGAATTTTACACCAAGGACCATTAAAGTCTTGTGATTATACTGTATTTTTTCATTAATCTCATTCAGAAAAGTAACAAGTAACTAAAGTTATCAAATAAATGTGGTGAGTACAAAGTACAATATTTTCCTCTGAAATGTAGTGAAGTCAAAATGAAGTAGCAAAAAAATTTAAAATATTGAAGTTAAGTATAGATACTTCAAAACTGTGCTAGTACAGTACTTGAGTAAATGTACTTCGTTACCTTCCACCTCTGACCCCATATATATTTTTTAAGCAGATTAAGGCACTGAAAAACATTTGTCCTAAATAATCAGTACAGTGTGATTCTTCTGGATGAAAAGGAGAAACAAAAGCATTCTCCATGTATACATTATATGTTGGCTGTTAAACACTTGACTTGATTCTGGGCCACTGCAGCTGTGTCCTTGAGACATGTTCCATTCTTATAGCAGCTGGAGGAAAAGCTCCATCATTTTAGATGGCCTTCCTTGCATGAAATTATTTTGCAGTGATTACATTTTGCTGTATCATTATTCTTCGGCCATTGTTCACCACATTGTAAACACTATATCAGTGCACTGATGCAAGTGATAATAACTGATAAGCTGTACATGCCATGATTTGAAATAAACGATGCAGGGGCTGAGAGACACCCAACAAAAAAGCTATTTGTTTCCACATTCATGCAAATATCAACCACATTTGAAATTAAATTAGTATGGTTCCTACTGAGATGCATAGATGGATAGATACATCATAAATAGATACATCTATTTATTTATTGGTCACACAAATAACTCCAGCTCTAAGCTCTTTAACTATACCTAACTGCTGTCCTTATCTAGAGTTGCAAACAAATGACCATAGGACACAGGTGTCACTGTCCAGAATTCTCATTGACTTTGGTGTAAGCATTTTAACATAGAACAAAAATCAATTCTCAGGCTATTTTGAGGCATTATTACTTGGTGTAAGCATTTTAACATTCTCAGGCTATTTTGAGGCATTATTAATCTGTCATTGTTTTGGGGCAGTTTTGAAACATCATATTAAATAGACAGGACTTGAAAGTCGGTTGCCACACGCTAGTTCTATGAAATGCTATACAACCATACTTCTCCTGAACTTGTGTCTTTGCTGCAATTCTTTTAGACTGTTGATCCTCCAGGTTGCAACTGCAACTACAACAACAAAGTTTTGCATGCCATATGGAGGCCAGTGCATAGAATCAAAACCTGTTAACTCGAAGAGAAAACTAAAGACTGAATAATCTCACACAGTTTAGCACTTATATTTAGGCAAAGTAAAAAAAAAGTAAGGCACATCTTCACCCATTGCAAAGGTGCATAGATAAGGAAAAACAAACTGAAGAGATCAGTACTCTAGCGAAACGGCAGTATGTTGAACAACTTTTCGGCTTGTAGCCTTCCTCAGGGTTTGCGAATATGTATCCAAGAGCATTTAATTAGTATGGATGTGAATGTTTTTTAAAGAAAAAAACAATAAGTCACATACAGATACAGTGCCTTGGAAAAGTATTCATACCCCTTGAATTTTTCCACATTTTGTCACATTACAACCACAAACTTTAATGTATTTTATTGGGATTTTATGTGATAGACCAACAGAAAGTATTGCATAATTGTGAAATGGAAGGAAAATGATACGTGGTGTTCAGGATTTTTTACAAATAAAAATCTGAAAAGTGTGGCGTGCATTTGTATTCAGCCACCTTTACTCTATCCTTAAATAAAATCTAGTGCAACCAACTACCTTCAGAAGTCACCTAATTACTAAATAGAGTCCACCTGTGTCTAATTCAATCTCAGTATAAATCCAGCTGTTCTGTGAAGGCCTCAGAGTTTTGTTATAGAACATTAGTGAACAAACAGCATCATGAAGACTAAGGAACACACCAGACAGATCAGGGATAAAGTTGTGGACTGGAGGAGCTGCAGAGATCCACAGCTCAGGTGGGACAATCTGTCCACAGGACAACTATTAGTCGTGTACTCCACAAATCTGGCTTTTATGGAAGAGTGGCAAGAAGAAAGCCATTGTTGAAAGAAAGCAATAGGAAGTCCCATTTGCAGTTTGCCACAAGCCATGTAGGGGACACAGCAAACATGTGGAAGAAGGTGCTCTGGTCAGATGCAAAAGACTTGGGACAGGGGCGGAGGTTCACCTTCCAGCAGGACAACAACCCTAAACCTACAGCCAGAGCTACAATGGAATGGTTTGATCAAAGCATATTCATGTGTTAGAATGGCCCAGTCAAAGTCCAGACCTATATGCTGTTGAGAATCTGTGGCAAGGCTAGAAAATTGCTGTTCACAGATGCTCTCCATCCAATCTGACTGAACTGGAGTTACTTTGCAAAGAAGAATGGCCAAAAATTGCCATCTCTAGATGTACAAAGCTGGTAGAGACATATCCCACAAGACTTGCAGCTGTAATTGCAGCGAAAGGTGCTTCGACAAAGTATTGACTCGGGGTGGCTGAATATATATGCACGCCACACTTTTCAGATTTTTATTTGTAAAAAATCTTGAACACCACGTATCATTTTCCTTCCACTTCACAATTATGTGATACTTTGTGTTGGTCTATCACATAAAATCCAAATAAAATACATTTAAGTTTGTGGTTGTAATGTGACAAAATGTTGAAAAATTCAAGGGGTATGAATACTTTTGCAAGGCACTGTATATACATGTTGACCAATAAAAACATTCAAATAGGTGGATTGGGTATATGGTCATGTGATTACAGGCCAATCACATTCTCAAATTGGTAAAGGGGCAAAGGGCAATTGATACAGACATCACCATGCTTGATCAGCATGTAAGAGCACATAGGGCGAATCCCACAATCACAATTGTTTTAGCATTCCTCGATCCTCGCTCAACTCAGAAATTGTTCCGGTCCGCCATGATGAAGAATAATAATATCACTTAAATTCACTCAGACAAGCGAGGGATTGTTCTCCCTCAAATCTCAGACTCCGGAATGCTCCTGGATACATCAGCAGACACTTTGATGTTTGTTAGGTCTTTGGTTTGTCCATGTCACCAGCGTAATGTGTGCTCGCCTGTGTAAATTGCAGCTCAGATGGTTGTGGGTAATGGTCGTCAAGTGGTTGAGGAGAGAGGAGACGTTCTGAGTGGGAAGGTGGACTGGCCCTCGGGTTCACTGGAGTCTGCAGACAAGAAGGAATCCACTGAGATCTCAGGTCACAGAGAGCACACATCCCAACACGTTGTTAATTTCACAATGTTGATGAATCATCCCAGAGCACAAAAGTGACTGAGGCTTCTCTGTGTTTGTCTGTCTGTCCACAGAGGACACGCTGAACTTCTGGAAGGGTATTGCTGATGTGGGTTTGCTGGGTGAAGTGGTGACCAACATCAGTACAGAACTGCTGGAGATGCTGAGCGGCGTACAGCAGCGCAGGGAGCCGGCTGCCTTACAGGACACAGGTACGGAACAATGCTACAGTGCACTGGCTGCTGGGAACTGCAGCATGATAACAGTACATATGCAGGACTTAAGGCTCACTTGCAGGTGCATGAAGAAATGGAAAGAAAGAACAAATTCAGCTACTGTTGCAAGCTGAAGGATGATGAACTGATGCCAGAGGGCTTTAAGAATGGCTGCTGTTAGTTTCTGTAACACTAATAACAGAAATATTTGATGATTCCATGTTTGTAACAGCTGAATTTGTTCCTCCTTTCTGACTGACGGTGTGACCCTTTGATCGATTGCCGAACTGATCCCAGATTCCTGTCTGGTAGAGGTGGCGGTGCTCAGTAACCTTGCCCAAGTGTTTGGCCTCCTTGACTCAGTCAAGAAGATCTTGGAAAAGAGGAAGAAGCAGACTGACCCGAGCCAGGAGCAGGTCCTCAGCACACTCACCAGTGAGTACGGAACAAACACAAGGCTCCATATCAGGGCCCTGGTCTTCGTACATGAATTACTAAGTTATCCAGGTTAGACTGACGATGAAACTCACTGCTGAAAATTGCTTATGTATTTCAAGTTACTTATCAAGAGATTTTAGAAACTTCTCATTTTTATAGCAGGCTTTTGATGATCACTTAAAACTAACATGCCTATGAAGAAATGGTAAATGGACTGTATTTACTGTATATAGCGCATTTTTCCACAGTGTGTTACACTGGCCAAAGCGCTTTACAGGAGATGATACACCATTCACCCATTCACACACCGATGACGACAGGCTGCCACACAACGGCGCTAGTCAAGCCACTGGGCGCTATTCAGGGTTCAGTGTCTTGCTCAGGGACACTTAGGTATGCGGGGAGACCGGGAGTCAAACCACGATCTTGCAGGTCAGGAGACAACTGCCCTACCTCGGTCATGAATCAGCATTATTTATGGTCTAAGCACATGGAGCTCTCAAATTTAGCAGTAATGAAAGAGGCAACATGATGGAGCACAGTGTGGAACAGCCACTACCTGTAATTTAAAAAAAAAAAAAAAAAAGAGGGCACGGGGGGAAGCTCCCAGAAGCAAAACAGTGAAGCCCCCATGACGTGATCACCCCCCCCGGCTGGTTGCAGTATAGGTCATAAATCCTGCTCCCTCCATGTTAGTGGATGGGATATGAGCCAAACTAAAAACTCCAAGAAGAAATCAAATAGATTTTTCCCAGAGGTCGCATTTGTGGTTTTTGGTAGATATCAAGCTGATGTGTGGACAAGTGGTCATTTTTCTGCTAAGCTTGTTTGATGATATAAAAAGAGGTTATTTCAGTTGATTCGACAGCTTTGAGTGGCGGTTCGATGCTAACAGTCCACTTTGGTCAATACTGAGCAGAATCTGGTTGCAAAATAGCAAGATGGCAGCCATCGTATTAACGATATTTTGGCTTCAGTTTTGCATAGTGGGGGGGAAGTGGTGATGTCACGTCCATCATATATAGAGTCAGCGGTGTGGACACAAAGTGGAGCTGCTGCTCTGCTCACACTGGTGTCAGTGTGGAACATTAGAGCAGCTAGCACCACATGAAGAACAGTCACAGGAAGGCAGTGAGCCTTAGCTAATCCGTTGTTTTGCAGTGACCTCACGTCTGCCATATTATACCTTACTTTAAGAATCCTTGCAAGAACAGATAAGGAATAAATGAATGTGAAATTAATAATAATGTAATATATTTTTAAATATATCACTAGGGATGAAACACAGTCTGCTGCAAATAGGGATGGGACCATGTGATATGATTGGATGCACGATACGGTGCAATCACGATAAAATTTCAATGACAATGGTTTATAACAAGCTGCAGAATGCTTGAACTTTAATCCCATATTTTTCTCCTTTTCCAGCACTGGTTTGATTATGTAAAGAACACCAGATATCTTGAAGCATGTGCTGTTATTTATAAAAAATATTAAATCACTGGTGTACGGAGACCACACGATGTACATCGCTAGATAAGATGGTACATATTGTGAGGTTTTTGTATCAGGGGATACTGAATATTGATATATTGTCCCATCCCGAGCTGCAAGATATTCTGCTTAACATGAGGTAGGTCAGTCAAATCATATAATAAGCAGAATGTAGTAGCACACTGGGAAGAGCAGACAAGATGAGATGCACAGACAGTGACTCATTATCAGATTTATTCCTGTTGTTTGTTTGCAGCCCTCATAAATGCTGAAAAGAAGACATGATGTAACAGGCCAACAAATTTTTAAACACAAAAAATAGACTAAAGCTACTCTTTTGAATTCTAATGCTTCAGCTAACCTATAATAACTATTATTATTTGTTATTTGTGTTATTATCATCAGACTGAATACAGAGATGTAGAGTGCTAGTGACTCTACACAGTTTTCAGAAATATTAGAAAAACAATTTGGACATTTTACCATCACAGTATTGTTGCACACAAGCCGTTTGACCAATACCATGGAACCGAAGACTCAAATGGGAAAACGTTAATGAATTAGGCACGGTGAAATACAGTCTCCAAAGTATGTTTTTAAGGGTTTCTTCAGTATTCATACTGGAAATATCAACAAAAACTGTTGCAGAGAGCTGTTCAGAAATGCAAATATCTAAATGTTGAGACACCTGCCTGTGGATTGCTGACATGAATTAGGATAAACAGTGGAGAAAAAGTAGTTCCAATAACTTCAATCCTGCTCGTATTAAATGTCATTATGCATTTCTGTATTTTGTAGTGACCTGAAATGACTTGAGAAAGTATTAAAAAAAAAAAAGCACACTTTTGGAGCTCTGTTGTGGCAAAGTGAACTGAACAAACACAGACTCAGGCCCAGATGTTGATGGCTACTGTGTAGTCTGGTGTGACATTTTTATGAAGTCAGTAGTGTTGATGCTATGGTGGGGCATGCTTAAGCCAACATGCCATTTCTGATTAATACTGATATCAGATGTGCCAGATCTAATCACTGAAAAGCTAATTAGAAAAAAATGAATGTGAGCTGTTTATTAATCTGTAGTTGGTTTACTCAGCCCACATTTTCAGTCCCGTGTTGTTTGCTCTGTGCAGACCTGGAGGTGCAGCTGGAAGAACAGAGGAAGCAGCAGCAGGTGCGGGCTTTTCTCTCCTGCCCACAGCCTGCCAAAAATAAAACTCATACTAAGCGCCAGACCAAGCGGCCTCGTCTCCAGAGACCTGCCTCCACCACTGCCCTCCTGACCTCCCCTATCAACCAGCAAGCTGCCCTGCAGCCCCAGCAGTTCACCGTTCTTTCTCCCATCTCGCTGTCCTCAGTGAGTCAGCCGTTCACCGTGGCAGGCCTACCCATCGCCTCCCTGGCCCAGTCCTCCAACACGGTCACCTTGCTCCCTGCTGGCTCACAGCTCTTCACCCGCTACATGGTAACCGGAGATGGAAAGGCAGACACGATCACCTTGCATCCATCCTCGGGCCTCACGCTGGTGGGCTCCACCGCTGTGCAGGACTCCAGCCAGCTGGGCGCAGTGGTAAGCCCCGTAGAGCTGGTGCAACTGAGCCAGCAGGCCAGTGGTGCAGAAGTGGTCCCCATCCAAAGCCAGGTGGTGGACGGCACTATGCTGGTGCAGCAGGAAGTGATGCAGGGTGAGGTAGAGACTGGCCAGGAGCACACGGTCATCGAGATCAACCCGGGTCCGGTGGAGCAGGCGGTTGGTGTGATGGAGCTGCAGCTGACTGGGGAGTCGGGCAGAGACGGGGCTGCTATGGTGGTCCAGAGTGGGATGGAGGTGACGATGGCTGCAGAGGGGGAAGAGACTCAGTGCCAAATACATGAGGTCCAAAACGAAAGTGTTCAGGAGCTGCAGCTGGATGGCAGTGGACAGTTGTCAGGTGTACAGATAGTGGTGATAGAAGAAAATACTCAGGAAGAAAACAAGGTCAAATGAGGCCACGCCTCTGTTTTTCTCCAGCCGAACTCATTTTGAGCTATTACAGACTTGTGAAACACCGAATTTCAAAATCCAGAAATTGCCTTGGCCTAAGACCAAGCACTAGGGTAGCCATTTTTTTTAGTGCGTGTGTGTAATGTCCCAACAACGTGTTGACTTTTATTAAAACAAAGAGGCATCACAGCAAAGAAGATAGTGTATTCTTCTGTTTGTTTTGTATTAAAAGGATAGTTTTGGTTTATTACAACTTTTCTAGTTTGGCTATCATTTCTATTTATAATATTAATGCTGTGCTTGGCAAATACGGTAAGCATGTGAGTGCTGAGATCTGGAAATGTAGACTTCACTTAAAGGAAATCAGCGCACTCCGGTGAGTCAGAGACAGGTAGTAAGCAAACCCCCACATTACCTGAACTTGTTCGACAGAGTAAAAGAAGGAAAACTGTAAAAATACTACCCAAACTGTAAACATCCACCCCAGTTTATGGACTGACTCCAGCCTACTGAAGATGAATTTACACTGTTTAAAGTACAGTGGTGGATTTTACCAAGATTTCAGGTGTGCTCACTATCCTTTTTATCTCCGGATGAAGCTGATCAGATAGGATGTTTCCAAACCCTGGCTCCTGGGCCAGTACCAGGCCTTCGAGTAATTTTCCGCTGGGCTGTGACAAAAAATATGGTTTGGCAGGAAAAGAGTAATAATTTTATACCACTGAAGTGATTTTGAACTAAACAGTGTCCTCAGTGTTTCCTATTTAGGTACTGGATTTGATCTGCGGCCGGGTGTCGTGCTCATTTTACTCTTGCCACCAACCAGCTGAGGTCTGAAAAAGTAAAATATTGAGTTAGAATAGGAGTTTGAAAGAGCTAAAAAAAAAAAAAGAAGGAAGGTGAGGTGAAAGGCCTAACGTGTGTGTGTTCTTACATCCAGACACTACTTAGCAGAAATGCAGACTGGAAACAGTCTTGTGTTAAACAGCACAGGAGCCGTGTTGTTTAACATAACACCAACATAGAAGCACATTGGCTTTAAAGGCTGATCAGATGGCAGAACTTTGCACAACATTTTAGAATACTCAAGAGACTCGAATGCAGCACTCTGGAAAGTCATCTCTGTTGCAAATTTTAGTTTAGCTTTCATTAGAAATACAGCATTTGTGTTACAATTGACCAGAAATAAAATAATAAAATAAAGTGTAGTTGATTTGTCACTGCTGCATCTTGTGAGGTGACGTTACACTAGACTGCAACAAAAGTTGCTAAAGCCCTCTGCACTGGCACCCCCGCTGCTCCAACAGACTGACTAAATAATTGCCTAAAAGTTTTACTTGTTTTCCAACTGTGAGATCATCTCACTGCTTGTACCTTCTGTTCCTACTTGGTTGTTGTGTTCCCAGATCTCAGCAGTTACATTGGTTAGTGATGGAAACACTTGCCAAAGCTGTAACAAACCAGAAACATCCTTTATTGGCCTCTGTGAACAACCAGAGGACAAGAGAATGCACTGTAACTATAAAGTCTACATGCAGGGCTGTTTTGGTGCTGCCTGGTCAGTTCTCATCCTCTTGGTGGCAGCAGGCTGTAACTTACAGCCCTCTGCTGTCGATCAGACACATTACCACTATTAATGTTGGTGCCACTCAAGGCTGGGATTAATTGCACTGTCTGTTGTGTTGTAGTGTTGCATCCAAGCTGTGTTGTTTTTGCACTGTGTGATGTCCTTATAGGACTACAGGAAGAGGTTTGCAACAATGCCTGTGTTCTACACATTTCTTTAGAATTTGGCTGCACTGTTGGGTGTGCAGAGTGTGTTTATGTGCATTGTTACATGGCAGCAGACTGAAATTCTCTGGTATTGTATTGCTTTTGCACTTACTCTCTTGGTGATTTCTTAGCCCCTGATTTTTTTTTTCTTTTAAGTTTTTTTAACTTTATTTTGTGTGTGTGTGTGTGTGTGTGTGTGTGTGTGTGTGTGTGTGTGTGGACAAAACTCCACTGCTTTGGAAAGACTGTCTCCGCGTTTTCCACATCTACTGCTTTATCTCATTATTATGGGTAGTGTAAACTACTGGGCTGATCGTTTAAGTCAATATATAAAAAAGCATATATAAATTTAGTGTCAAACTTGGTATGCCTGTATTTTATACTTGTAAAGTAGTGTCATATTTATTTAGTTTTCAAGCAGAAGATATGGTGTCTCTGTTAAACCTGGATGAATTTATGCTCTTGGCTTTAAGTCCCATCAACAAAGACCTGTTCATGATTTGTGTATTTCCAATAATTTAATTTAACAATTGAGGGTATTTGCTGACTGACTGAATTTGTAACGTGTTTTAATATCACATTAAAACTGAAAAAACAAGTGAGGGGTTGTCAGTGCTTCACCACTAGATTGCGCTGTGTGCTCACTTCATTACGGTCTGAAACTGGATATGAGGGTTACAGCTGTGTTAATAGAGAGTGAAAATAGTTTGCTGCTGCAATCTCTGCCTCCTTCATGTGTCAAGCTTACTGCAGCATACAGTGTAATCTGCACCATTATGGTTGCTGTTCATGATGGGCAGGCCTGTCTTTAGCCTGAGCTGTGCTGACGGCACCAGGGCTCACTTGTTATTACAGCCCCTAACACTCCCTGACAGGCTGTATGAGGGGAAGGCCATGAGGATTTGGGTAATACAAACACAAAAGCAGGCACATATACAAACCACAAGGCTGAAATGGACACCGAAATAAACTGGTTGTGTGTGTGGGTGGTACAAAAGAGGAAGCATCCAAGCATCAGCAGGCGAATGTGAAGCTGGTGGGGGCCAAGTGAAGGCTAAAAGCATGAGAAACACCACCACAGGGCCATTGTGTGGTGTAGGAAGAAGGGATATGCTGGCTGAGTAAATTACAGAGTTGTTCCAAAGGCCTTATATTAGGTTTCCTCAGGTTGTGCCCAAGACAAAGGAAACGGGCACAAAACACCGGTTTCATGTTGACGGCTTGACTCCCAAAGGGTTGAAAGGCTGTTAAACAAGAAGACAACATGGCTGACATTTTGTCAGTATCACCTTGGTTATAGTGAGTTTAGCAGAGAACAGGCATATGAGCTTGACACCATGTAGTCAGTGAACAGGCAGGACAGATTCAGGCTTTATCTCTCGCATTAGAGGAGGAAACAGGCTCATAAACTGTCACCACCTTCCATCTGGCTCCACCAGCTCCTCAGAACAACCTAGCTTTTTAGCTGCTTTAATGCTCCACTGTGTTCACCAGATCGTTGCTAACTTTGTCTCTGCTATTTTGGTGCTGCACATTCAGTTTATTCGAGCTTCTCCACTGACCAAAGAAGCCTGCTGCTGCTGCTGGAACCAAAGCTGAAAAGAATGCAGTTTGTGTGTAGAAAATTAAAACCAGGAGCTATGGCTTTCTCATTATATGTAATAATTTGATCTGCTAATATATAAGACCGGAAGTCTACTAGAAGCTCTGCGAGGGTGCACTTAGCAGTGCTGAGCTAAATGCTAATATCTGGGGAAATGCTGTCATATACCACATGTTATTACTGTTTACACTGCACCCACCACAACAGCAGCAGTTTAAAACATCATTTTCACGGTTTTTTCACTCATTTAGGCTTTCAGGTGTCCAACAGTTTAATAACTGAACAGCCACAGTTTGATTAGCATTTTTTGATATGCATAATTTATAGAAGACGCACACACATTCTGTTGTTATGCTTCCACACTGGCATAGCTGTGGCTGGAGCCATTGTACTTTAGGGTTGTCCATCCATATGGCTCTTTCTTGTAAACGCAATATCAGATCTCTCCCATTTGCATGAATTTGACCAGTTGGTGGAGGCACAGAACCACAAAACAGCAATTTTTAAGTTGTGTTCATATTTTTTATGCCTTTTATTCCTATTTATCTCATTTCACAATGAGCATTCCTTTGTCTGTCTGCATTGTTTACTGCCTGTTTATACTGCTTATTTTGCATTGTTTGCACTGTTTGTTAATATTGTTTATTTTTTTATATTATACAGCCTTATGTTGGTTTGCTGTTTACTTGCCCCTTGCATGGAGATATGTACATACACATTGAGAGCCAATGTAACGGAGTCAAATTCCCCGTGTCCCTGACACACCTGGCCAATAAAGCAGATTCTGATTCTGATATATATTTTCCTTTTGAGTACGCTGCTACCCCTGCTGCGCCTGAGGACATCTGAGACTGTCCTCCAAAAAATGGCTATGCATAGTTTGTGTTGGGCAGCCTGGTGGTGTAGTGGCTAGTGCTATCACCTCACAGCAGCAAGGCTTTGGGTTTAAGCCCCAGCTGACCCGACGCCTTTCTGTGCAGAGTGTGCATGTTCTCCCTGTGCCTGCGTGGGTTCTCTTCAGGTACTTCGGCTTCCTCTCACAGTCCAAAGACATGTAGCTTAGATTGATTGGTGACTCTAAATTGTCCATAGGAGTGAGTGTGTGTGTGGTTGTCTGTCTCTAAGTGTTTGCTTTTTTTATCTAACCTAATCTAAGTTTTTTTTGTTCTTAAACCTAACCAATGACAGTTTCATTTGCCTATGCTTGTCATTTTAATTGTGTGTTTACTGTTTCCATGATGAGGAAAGTCTGTAAAGCTTACCGGTGTGACATACATTGTTGTTAATGTTGGACGAGTTCTTGTAATTCCCCCTGCCACTTTAGGAGCACTATTTCAGGAAATGCTCCTGTGGGTTGTATAAGAGGAAAAGGACAAACATCCATATGGGTCAGATGACTTGATGGTACCTCTGGCCTCCTCAGTGAAAAAAGATGAGGCTGCTGCTTCTTTTCGGTTGGCAACCAGCATACTGGAGCATTACTGCCACTGCCTGCTTCAGAGGGTGGACCAGAGGTTAGATCATTAATTCTGCCTGATAAACGGAATGAAATTTGTACTGCATGGCCCTATTGACAGGTTCACTGTGGTTTTATATTAAGATCCTGAATTCCAGTCCTTGCATTTGTTGATCATATATATTTATTACATTAAGAACTGACTCCTCATCTTGGCAGCGTTCATCTGATTAAGATGAGCCAGGTGTAGTGTAGAGTTAAGTGGCGACACCTGGGCCCTGGAGTATACCAAATGCCTGCCACAGTATGTGAGGTGTGGGGAAAGGTGCCTTTTTGTTTGTGTATTTTGCATCAGGGTGCTAGAGGGTAAGTCAGAAGATCACCACAGTTATTCATGTAAATTATAAACGAGATTGATCAAAGTGGAGTTTTGGACCCAGGGACAGGCAAAAAGATCTGCATCATAATTCTCTGTGGTTTCTAATATTTTATAGATGAAACAATAAGTTGATTAAGTAGATGATTTTACAAATGAAGAAAGTATAATCTCAATTTAAACACAGGAAACAAGAACTGTGAACTGTACCCCAGACTTTTTAAAGACTGAGCAGCTCTTTAAAGCTTAAAACAAGCTTTAAACATTTCTTATCAATCTAAAGGACCAATTAAAGAACAGCAGCAATGATTGTATCTGCTGCCAATAGCTTTAAAGAGACTATTTTCACCCCTACCTTGGTCTGTGTAGTATACACTTTTTCACTGATGTAACATTACAGGCTTTACAGGTAACAAAATCTGTCAGACCTCAAAGCAGTCCTCACTGCCTCTTGGGGCTGCCAGATCACAAGCTGCCAGGTGCAGCTTTAGGGAAGAGTGAGGCAGGTGTCACTGGAATCTAAGGAATAAAAACCTTTGCCACTGTCAAATAAAAACACTCAAGTGAAAAGCCCCACTGGTGGCTTCAAAAGGATGAACTGTTCCTTAGGCTCTCCATTCAAAAATGAAGAATAAACTAGAATTATGGCTTTGCTGTTGTATGCCTCCACCATCCAGTCACATTTACAGGTATGGGACAGAAGGGAACACTGAGCTTTGACCACCAAAATCGAATCAGTTCATCCTTGAGTCTAATTGGACGTTTGTGCTAAATTTGAAGAAATTTCCTTAAGGTGTTCCTGAGATATCACGTTCACATGAATCATACGTGCAAACAGACACCAGTTCTTCTGTTTGATCATGAGTTACTACACTGACGACAGCCTACAGTTTGTCAGCCGACACGCCTCCCGGGCTTTAGAGCAGAGAATTCTTATCATTTTCAGAGCTAATTTTACATACTTGATCTTTTTAATCATTCAAATTGGTCTGGGTAACACATCTTCCTATGTTGTGACAAACTCAGAACACATATTTTGTCTACTTTACCCCGACTTTAATATTAGAGATGACAATGTCAGCACCCAGGACCTGTTCCACGAGATGTCTGTTTTGAGGCGAACACAGTCATATAAGCACCACAGCAATGTTTTGTTCTGATGTTTCTGCTATAGGTGTAGCTTTGGGTTGTTAATCCAAGATACAGGATCATCACAGATGCTCAGTCTGGCTTGAAGTGATTTCTGGCTCTGAGGACCGGTGTGTTTACAACACAGACAAAGAGGACTGCTGACTTTGTTTTGTTTTTTTCTTTGGCACTGTGAGGGGAACTAATAAAGCTCTGGCAATGTGTGCCACGATGTACCACCTCATCTCCTCCTTCTGCCAGCAGTGGTGTGTGCCTGCAGCAGAAGGTGCAACTTCCATTCTCCTGGGTTCTCTGACTAGAGAGGAAAGGAAAGTGTGAACGATGACGGTGGAGCCTGGCTGATGGACAGAGGTGTGAACCCCATCGTAAGGCAGGGAGAGATAGCAACGTTCTTGTTTACACATACTGGGGCTGGATTGTCACCTTGTCTGTCAGGGAAACATCCTATCTACCTCTGCTTATCTTGCTGCGAGACAGCCAGCGACTCTGTTGGAGAGACCTGCTACAGGTTCACATCACCATAAATCATTTCCCTCTGCCTTGCCATGTTGCTTTTCATGTTATTTCCCCTTCACTTCTTCAGATATGATACACTCCTCCCCTGTCCCCAAATAGCTTCCACTCACATGCACTTTCCCAACTCTATGCTTTTGGCTGACAGTGACCCTGTGCCCTCATGGCTGTGAGGCACTGCAGTGTATAAATTTCCATAAAAACGGCTTCATAAGATGAAAACTTACCATGACAACAGTGGAATCATAAGCATTTTGGTCCTCCTTGATAAAGTAGTGTGCAGCCTTTCATTAAATGATGTTGTAAATGTCTTTTTGCTATGATATTGTGCTGATTGTTAATTTTTATGAAGCATTTAGACTTGTTAGGTAATTTCTTAGTCAGATAGATATTGATTAGATATTTGTTGTATTAGTTTAGTGGAGACAGGATGTCTAGCTCAGGCTGTTAAATGCTTAGTTCATTGTCATGAGTTCTGCAGGCTGCATGGGGGCCCCAAGGACAACTAGATAGAAAAAGTCAGCAGGCAGGATGAATATTGTTATTATTATGATATGTTTAGCCGTAATCTTAATCATAATATCTTCCGAGGCTTAATGTCCGGACATGTCCCTGAATGTCCTGTATGTTTTTAGATACACACCACATGATCAACACTCACACACACATTCTCTCCATGTTTTGACTACTGCTACGGCCAGCTGTGAAGCTGGCATATCAGGTGACGTCACGGTTGACGTTCCTGTGTAGCATGGGCTAGCCCAACCAAGGGATAAAATTGTATAG